AACACCCTGGGATCTGGCCATCTACCATCATACTAGCAGGCAGTTCTAATTGTGGCACCCATAAGGCAAGGGGCATCATGATGTCCAGTGGTCAGACAAGCTCACAGGTAGCTCCAGAGCTACATGGAGAAATAAGAATTTTTGTTGGTGGTTCTAAGGTTTCTGTGTTGAAAGCACCATTCCTGACATGTTCTTTGCAAGGAGCATACCTAAGATGCCTCCTTTGTCCTGGCAAATGCAGCTTTTCCAGGAGCACCTTAACAGCACTGAGCTACGTGAAAAATCCACAGTGTCAGTTGCACGAAAACATAGCTTGTAAATGGCCACATCTTACAATTGAAGCCACAGGTCAAATGTGAATAAGAATGCATAAATGAGATCCAGAAGAAGACACACGAGCCACACTGGTCCTAATCAAAGGCAAGTTCATACTTAGATTCTCTGCATCCATTTCTCCCTTCCCCCTTTTTCAAAATAAGATTCTAAATCCTCATAAGCACAGACACTTGATAATAAATCAAGAAAAGAAAACAGAATTACAGCACACATTTCACATTCTTCATAAGATCCAGGAGAAAGCTTCTGTCTCCCTCTTTTTATTACTGTTATTCCTATGCTGCTCTAATAAGAAAGATTTCATTCTGATCTAATTCCAAAGCTACATTGCACCCTTTCTTTCCACATCTTTGCAGATTAGGAGTTAGAAAACATTCCAGAAAAAGGGGCCTTTTAATGATCAATGTGTTACTAGTTACCTTGCATTAACAAATTCTTTACAAGTCTAATTCCTTTGATGCACTCAGAAAACTATCATTTTGTTATCAAAATTCAGAATTCCCATGAAGCTGTTGAGTAAAGAAAATGCTAGAATCAAATATGTCCCTGAAAATATTTCTGAATCCATATAAACATACGTTACTAACGCTCATTCTGGGTCATATCTGGTGATAGATAAGTGCCTTCTTATGTACTCAAGTAAGTATATGCATTGAAGGTAACCTGCTAAAATGAACCCTATGGAACCTTTAATCAAATCTTGCACTAACCAAGGTTCCAAAGGTGGACCTATTTCTTTGCAAAGAAGAAAAGTAGTTCTGTTTGAATAAGTGCCTCAATCTCAAAACACTGCAGAAGACTATATCATTAAAAAAAAAAAAGTATACTAAGGTCTTTGCCAATTCAAAAGAAAAAAATGGAAATAGGTGAGCAAAAACAGGTTTAAAATATCCTGAATCCTAACGTGTCAGTACACACATGCTTCACGATACCATAGCAACATTCTCTCCTTTTTAATGAAACTGATTAATTAGCCTGGGAGCTCACAAAATGTCAGCGCCAAAGGATTGAAAATGCTTCTCTCCATAGCTAACGCCTCACCTGCCTCTTTCTTCTTGAGCTTGTCAATCGGAAACACTAGAGGTCGATCTTTGGAAGAAATCTCACAACTACAGCTCTATTTTAAATGCATGAGAATGTGGAGGCTTCAATAGCTTGCATTCCAAATCAGCTTGGAAGATCCAGAGATGAGAGTGTCTTGAATACATAAAGCTCAAACTAAATGCAACCTCATTTGACTGGGGTGAGGGTGGAAGGAGAGAACTGGGGAAGTTGTTTTGCAAATGAAACCAGCTAGAAACCAATTTATGTGTATGTGCGTGGGAGTACAATGTGCATGGCTATTTGCATAACACAGCTATGCAGTAAGCAGGCCATTTTCTACAACACATACGTGGAAATTTCACATGCTGGTCATACCTCACACAATTCATAGAGACATGGAACCATATTAGCATATCAATTTCCAGGAGTCACCAGGCAGAAGCACAAAATGAAACATTAGGTTTTGCTATTTGGTAAAATACAAGAGTAATCCCATTCTTTTGTGGAAACAAAAGACTAAGCCTCATCAGAGTCTACGTAGGTAAATTGCTGGCTAGATGTCTTGTTTTATTTGGTTCTTACTAGAAACAGATATTAAACCTGTTGGTTTGGTCCCCAAAATACTCACAATGGTCAGGGCTAAGCCAGAGCCCAAGACAGAAGCTGGAAATTACACTACATTTTCCCGTGTACATGGCAGGGTCCCCTGCTACTTGAGCCGTTACCAACGCCTCACAGGGGATGCTTTGCTAGGAAGTTGGATTCAGAAGCCAGAGGCAGGAATTGAGCCCAGGTACTCTAATGTGAAACACAGGCATCCAAACTACTAAGCCAAATGCTTGCTCCTGTGTTACTCTAGCATTACGGCCTTAATCAGGTAAAAGACTGTCATTTCCACTGCACAGTGATGAGAAAATGACTGTTCAACCTCAGCACGATTAGTGTTTTGGCCAAGATAAACTATTCTTAGACACTATTCTGTTCATCTTAGGATGTGAAGCTAAAGCCCTGGCCTCTACTTGCTACAAACACGTAGCATTCCACAGTTATGCAAACAAAATTATCTCTAGACATTGCAACTGTCCACCAATCTTTTTTATTGCTGTTGGTGGTGGGAGTAATCACTTTCAATTAAGAACAACTGCATTAGAATAACCAGTAATAAGAAAAATGAGAGTACTGACTCTGATGGAAATAAACAAGGGGCCCCAAATGAGAACAGCCAGCCATTTATTCAGAGCTTGCCGTAGTGTGTGTGTGTGTGTGTGTGTGTGTGTGTGTGTGTGGTCAGCCACATCATTCATGGGTGGCAGATTTAAAGGCAGGCAGAGGGGAGTGTGAAGGCTTTCTAGGGGAAAAAGAGGGGGTTAGATATGCTGTGATTGTAGGTTGCTGGCCTAGGGAAGCTGGAAGCATGATTGGTTCTGAGTTGAAAGTAGAAAAAAAGAAAAGAAAAAAGGGAAACTCCATTGACAAGTTGATTTTCACCAGCATGCTACCCATACTACTGCAGTACCCAGAGGCATTTGGATTAGTTTCCTTCTACTGCTGTAACAAATTACTGAAAGTTAAAGGCTTAAATCAATGCAACTTTGTTGTCTTACAGGTCTTATTAGAAATGACACGTGCCCTAGTGGGCAACCATGAGAAAACCAGCAGGCCTGAGTCCCCTCCTGGAATATAGAGAAATCATTTTCTTTCCTTTTCCAGCTTAGAGAGACTGTTTACATTCCTCATATCTCCCTCCTCGATCTGCAAAGTCAGCAATATTGTACCACGTAGAAATCATTTGCTCCCCTGTTTCTCCTCTTCTACCCCAGACTTCTACTTTGCAGGGCTCCGATTTCACTGGGCCAACTGGATAATCCAGAATAATCGCTGCTTTAATGTCAGCTCTTTGGCAACCTTGATGAATTGATTAATTAACAAATTAATTAACTTTCCCTTTTCCATCTAGCATATCATATTCACAGACTACAGGGACAAGACCAGGGGTATCTATTCTTCCTTCCACAGTATTCAAGAATAAAAATGGAGGCTGATGCCTTGGAACAATGTATTAAGCTATTTGCAGTGCTGGCATCTCACAGGGCATCAGCTGCTCCACATCCGATTGAGTTCCTTGATAATGAGCCTGGGGAAGCAGCAAAGGATGACCCAAGTATTTGGGCCCCTACACTCATGTGGGAGACCCAGAAGAAGCTTTTGGATTCAGATCAACACAGACCCAGATATTGTGGCAATTCAGGGAGTTAACCAGCAGATGGAAGTTCTCCATCTCTGTCTCTCTGTAACTCTGCCAAATAAATAAACCTTTTAAAAAGCAAATAAAAGGTATGTTTCTTATTAAAAAAAATTGTAAGAACAGATGTTCCCTGCACCAGCTGCATCGCCATCACCTATGGATTTGGTAGAGCTACAAATACTGAGGCCCCTCCCAGAATGAACAATTCAGAAGCTCTGTGGCTGGAGTCCATCTGCCTGTGGTGGTTTGCAATTTTTTTTATTGTAGAATAACTTTATAGTTACAAACCAAAGCTGGTGAAGTGGAACACAGAGATCCATACACAAGCCCTCAAGGTGGTTCTGACGCACGCTCATGCCAGGAAAACACTGATGTCTGCTCTACATCCTCTTTCCCCACTTTAAAATGTCATCTGTTGCAACAACTAAATTGCACAAAAACACATTGTTTGCAGGATAATTACTGAGGAATCTTTCCAAAAATATAGGATAGCAATAATCCTTAAACGCATATAATGGCTACCTTAAATGCATATAATGGCTAATGTAATGTCAACTTGACTGGGTTAAGGGGATATCCAGGCAGTTGGTCAAACATTTACAAAAATCATCTGCACTGGAATTGATACACTGAGATAGAAAGCCATCCTGACCAATTTAGGTTCCATTCAGTCCCTTAAAGGCATGAGTAAAACAGGAGGTCAAAGGAAGGGCAGTCTGCTCTGTGGGTGAGTTGGGATATTGTTCTCTTTCTAACCTGAGACACTAGTGCTCCTGGTTCTCAAACTTTTAGGCTATAATTACACTTCAGAATATTGGGGCCTCTCCTTTGTAGGGGCCAGATCCCAGATCTTATCATAATCACATAGGCACTTTTCATACAAAAAAACTTTTTTCTGGCTTCATGAATTAATATACTGTAGAACAGATAAAGAGAGTGGGGTACATATGCAACAGAACGTTACTCATCCATAAGAAGGATGAAATCCAGGGGGCCAGCATTGTGGACTAGCAGGCAAATCTGTCACATGTGATGTTGGTATCCCAAATGAGCTCCTGATCAAGTTTCCCAGGCTTCACTTCCAATCCAGTGCCATGCTAATGGCCCGGGAAAGCAGCATGAGTGCTCGAGCCTTCGTCACTTACATGGGAGACCTGGATAAGGCTGTTGGCTCCTGGCTTCCCCAGCCCAGGCCATGGCCATTGTGGCCATCTAGGTGGCCAACAACGAGTTGTAACTCTCACTTACAAATCAATCAATGTTTTCAAAGAGAGAATGGAATTTTGTCATTTCTGACAACATGGATGGGGATGGGTGGCCATCTGGCTAAGCAAAATAAGTTAAACACAGAAAGACAAGTTTCACATGACCTTACCCGAATGTAGAGGCCTCACAGAAGTCACAAGTGCAAAGATCATGCTGTGGAGGAAAGAAAGGAAAGGGGAATGAGAAAAGGATGATTAACTGGTACTAAGTCATAGCTGCATAGGATTAGAAGGTCTGTTCAATTCTGTTTCCCCGGCAGTTCCTGGCTAATGCAATGCATCTAGTTCCAGTGCTCCATGTATAAAATCAAACTCCTGACCAGAACATAAAAGTTCCCCAACTTTCTCACCTGTTCCTGACTCTCTCCCTTTCTACCCCACCCCACAGAGTTTCTCACACCTTCTGCAATTGGGTACTTGAATGTCTCTAGTGTCTCACTCAGCCTCCCCATGCAACTTCTCCCCCAGGATCCTTGAGCTTTGAAGCATCAGGACATGATTCCCCAGGTCAAACACAGAGTCTGGAATACAGGAGATCCTCTGTGAATGTTTGAACAAATGATGACATTTAATGAGATGGTACTTTAGCAAAGCACCTGGTGATGGCCTAAGGAGTAGCTACTGTCAGATCTGATCTGTCCAGAAAAAAAAAAAAAGAAAACCAACTCTCCTGAAGATATATTAATATTCAAGTGACTAAGAATAATCACTTTAATATTCCATGAGAACAAAATTCCTCAGGGATATAGAAATATTATTAAAATCCTCCTCTCATCACCCAAACCCATCACTACATACCCCTTTCAGTTTGGTCCTGGAACTTAATGAAAAAGCCATGGAACTACTAACTGGATATGGGTCAGTTTGGCAAAGGTCTGCCCTGTACCCTCCATACAGGCAGCCACTAATGTGGCCTGTTGGGGCTGGGCGAGGGAAAGGAAAAAGGGGAAATGCTCATTGTGGTTCATGTACTTGTCCTCCCAAGCTCATGCAGGAGCCTGTCCTTTGAGCCTTACGTTCAAAGTTCCAAGAGGTAGAGGCTTAATCATATGACAGTGTTGACAGCCCTTGGGAAGTCATTTTATTGAATTGGGTCATTAGAGGGGAGCCTCACACTCTATGCTTTCTTACAGCTTTATATAAAGAGGTTTGGAAACCACACATTGGTGAATGCTCACTCAAATTTTTGCCAGGTGACTCCCTGTGGCACTTGGGGACTCTAGCAACAATGGTGCCCACATCCAAAGCTACATCAGTGGGCCTGCACCAACACAAGATGACAATCCTGGGCTATAAACCTCCAGAGCATGAGCCAAAAAAAATTCCTTTTCTGTGCAAAGTAGTCTCTCTTGAGTATTTTATAGTACTTTAAAGTTGACCATTAATTATTGAAATAATCTTTCTGTAGAAAAACTTCCTGGACTGCACACACACCAGGCCCAAGTGCTTAGGCCATCTTCTGCTGTGTTATCTGATCCATTCGCAGGAAGCAGGGTGTAAGGAAGAACAGTAAGGACCCCAACCAAAACTCAAGTATGGAATAAAAGTGTCTCAAGTGACTTCTTAGTGTGCTATGCCACTATGCTGGAATCTGCATTAAGTTTTTTTTTTTAATTCTTATTTTTTTAAAGGTTTATTTTTTTATTGGAAAGTCAGATATATAGAGAGGAGGAGAGACAGAGAAAATCTTCTGTCTGCTGATTCACTCTCCAAGTGGCCATAATGGCCAGAGCTGAGCTGATCTGAAGCCAGGAGCCAAGAGCTTCCTCCAGATCCCTCACACAGGTACAGGGTCCCAAGGCTTTGGGCCGTTCTCTTCTACTTTCCCAGGTCACAAGCAGAGAGCTGGATGGGAAGTGGGGCCACAGAAACATGAACCAGCATCCATATGGGATCCCATGCATGCAAGGTGAGGATTTTAACTGCACCAGGCCCTGCATTAAGTTTTTTTTTTTTTAAGATTTATTTTTATTATTTTTTCATTGGAAAGGCGGATATACAGAGAGGAGAGACAGAGAGGAAGATCTTCCGTCCTATGATTCACTCCCCAAGTGAGCACAACGGGCCGATACTATGCCGATCCGAAGCCAGGAGCATCTTTGGGGTCTCCCACGCGGGTGCAGGGTCCCAAAGCTTTGGGCCGTCCTCCACTGCTTTCCCAGGCCACAGGCAGGGAGCTGGAAGGGAAGCGGGGCTGCCGGGATTAGAACCGGCGCCCATATGGGATCCCGGGCGTGCAAGGCAAGGACCTTTAACCACTTGCGCCGTTCCCCGGGCCTGCATTAAGTTTTAAAAGTGAAATTTGATTGATATATTTAGAGAGAGAGAATCTTCCATCTGCTGGTTCACATCCCAGACAACACAACACCCAGGTATCAGTCAGCTGAAGACAGGATCCAGAAGTTTATTCTGGCACCCCTACACAGGTGGCAGGGGCTCACACCCCTAGACCATCTTCCACTGCTTTTCCAAGGCTTTTAGCAGTGTGCTGGATTAGAAACAGAGCAGCCAGGACAGGAATCAGCATCCACACGAAATACCAGCATTGTAGGCAATGGTTTTAACCACTATACCACAACATTGATCCTGGACTTAATTTTTTTTTTTTTTTACAACAAAATAAACTTTTCTTTCAATGCTGTTTTCCATCAGCATATTGAAATAAGTATCTCTTAATAGTACTGTTATTCTAGAAAACCTCCACCAACACAAGATGACAACCAATTAATATAGCAGTTAATCACAGTGACTTCCTTAAAACGGAACATCTCACAGCATAAAGCACTAACAGAAATGAATGCAGTACAATGGGACAGACCCAAGTGCACAGCACATAGAAAACTTGAGTATCTTTTCAGTTTTATTGTTTCATACTCATAAAACAGAAGTCTTCAAAGTGTTCGTGGAAATGCATATTTTGAAAAACAGTACAAGAATATCAAGGATGGTTTACATCAAAACACTTAAGTTTTAATTTCATTTCACAACTTTTTTTGGAGTATCTGCACATGTACATAATTGTGGTATAAAGTATTTTCTTACTACAATTCAGGGTCAACGCAACTTGAAAAACACTATTCAAAGCAATGTTGGAGTGGTTCTGGGCACTCCTCCTACACAGCCCCGTAGCTCCTCAACTGGAAATAAATCCATCTGAAACGACTGCCTACATGGCTCAGAGCAGTTAGTAACTTGGCATACGAAGCTATTGCAACCCACAATTTCACTTGCATCAACTTCTTCTTCTAAGATTTATTTATTTAACGTGAAAGAGTTACAGAGATGTGGGGAGAGGTTAGGAAAGATCTTCCATCCACCGGTTCATTCCTGAAACGGCCACAATGGCAAAAGCCAGGCTGGTCCAAAGCTGGGAGCCAGTTGTTCTCCTGGGTTTTCTACATGGGTACAGAGGACCCAGGACTTGAGCCATCATCTAGTGCTTTCCCAAGCCATAAGCAGGGAGCTGGATCAGAAGTGGAGCAGCCAGGACTGGACCCATTGTTCATATGGGATGCCAGTGCCACATGCAGAGGATTAGCCCAATAAGCCACCTTGTCAGCTCCTATTTTCTTATTTGAGCTCTAGATTTTCTGTGCATTAAGACAAGATATTACTCTGCTTTACAAGTTCCTTCTATCTCAGCCCAATACTGCCATAAGTAGGTTCTTAGTAAATAACATTTGGGGGCTGGCACTGTGACATAGCTCATAAAGCTGCTGCCTGTGGTGCCAGGATCACACAGGGATGCCGTTTGTGTCCTGGCTGTTCCGCTTCTGATCCAGGTCTCTGTCATTGACCTGAGAATAACAGACCTGGCCCAAGTACATGGACTCCTACTGATGTGGGAGACCCAGAAGAAGCTTCTGGCTTCAGCCTGACCCAGTCCAGTTGTTGCAGGTCTTTGGGTAGTGGACCAGAGAACATAAGATTTCCGGATGTCATTTCCTCTTTCTCCGTAACTCCTACCTTCAAAATCTATATGAACAAAATTGACATTCTGAGATTTGATTATAGTTTACAGCATTTGTCTATATGCTTGAGGAACAATGGTTTTTCTTTTTACTACCTGCTGTTTGTTGAATTGTTAACCTAAAGGGGTGTCAAGCCTGATTGTGAAGTGAACTGGAAAGCTGTCTTTGTAAAAATTAAGAAAAAAAAAACAATATGGAAAGAGGAAGATGGATTGGGAATGCATGAGGAAGGAGGGTAGGATAGGAAACATCAAAATGTGTTGTGAAATACAAGAAGTTTGCTCATCTTATATAAATAAAACAAGTTAAAAGAAAAGTAAATAAATAAGAAATAGTTTGTAAGCTTAGTTTTATAAATGATCCTAAAGGAAAAATAAGAGAATGATCTTTCAAGAACAATCCAAATGGCAGGTGCTCCTTGGAAATGATTGAAGAGCAGCCAAAATGCATACACTACGCAACCATTAGGAAGAGGTGACAGACCCAGGACCCTGCTCTGACTAAACAAGCAGAAACTGAAACAACATGTCTTCATGGAGCTTGGAAACCTATACTCTTCCTCCACCATCAAAGTTCAATGAGAAACCGCAGCAGGTGCTATCAGCTCCTTTATTATCAATCTCTTACAGCAGTCAGGATTAAGAATTCATCTTATAAAGATTTTGTTTTTTCCAGCTTTCCATGAGATTATGCCAGTGAGTTTCAAGAATGTCCGTAGGATTGGGCCTTGGTTGGTTAAAAAAAAATTTCAAAGAGAAAAAATATAAAGCTATTTATATATTCAACAACAACCACATACATTTGTTCAGTGATGTAACTATTATATATATATATATATATATATATATATATATATCAACATAAGGTATTATAATGAAATCACAAACAAATGCCATGTACAAAACAAAAAGAATCACCAAAGCAAGGTCTTGGCAACACAGGACTTCCCATTCCAATGTATAATTTATGCTGTCTTTAAAGCCAGCTCCTGGGAACTACTAATTTAATTAGTTTGTATTGAACACTTAATTGAAGTAAGCCAAGGTTTCAGACTAGTTTGACAGCTGTTTTCATTACATCTAATTAATCTACAACATTCAGTTCTCTTTCCCTCTGTATTAGTCAGCTCAGGCTACCATAACAAAATAGCAAGGCTGTGTGAATTAAACAATGCAAATTTATT